GGTGCCATCGCGGTACACATCAGCATAACATACATCACCTGCCTCTCGCATGTGATCCTTCAGGTCCTGCCAGCTTCCACTAGGAGGTAGGCCTGAGAGGAAAAGGTGGCGTTAGACTCGTACACTCACCCAAACACTTATGGTAAAGAGATAAGCGTAACATGCAGAGGGACGGACGGGTCACCCACCTGACACGACAACTCTGTACTCGGAGCGTCTGGAGGGGGGACCATGTCTTGTTCTTGGGGGTCCCATTCCACCGCCACCGCCACCACGGTCGCCGCCACCGCCGCCACCTCCTCCTCCCCTTCCACTTCTAGGAAACTCAACACGCAGGCGGTAGCCATCATAGTCGTAACCATCACGCCCGTAAACCGCATCCTCAGAATCCCTGTTACATAAACACAAATACAGTTTTACTAGTTGGCAAAAAGTAGCCGGTTGGTTTGTTTTGGTCGCAACATGTTGTCTTACAACTATTGGCCTATTACTAATGAAACCAGGGGAAAAGAAATCAATGAGGGCTTGTTAAATGAATGAATTTTTTTTGGCAGCTGAAAGCAAAAAAGTGAGAGAATTTACTACGCGCACAATGTGCATGAAGAACACACAAAGGCTTGGACTGGCAGCCACTCATGCGTTTCAAGCTTGGCACTGAAAATTGTTGACACATTGCAATCCAAAGTAGTTGTGAGAGTCCAAGTATGTGTGTGTTCTTCGTGCCCAGTGCATGTACACACAGTGAGCATTAACTGCTCGTGTTTGTGCAAAGGTTGAATCTATTAAATTTGCTCACTTTCCTGCAACCAACATTCCCATTTGCTCAGCCTTTCAGTGCAGTTTTATTGTGCATTCACAGATTTATCCATTAAACTGTTAGTTGATCTGATTTTATACTACTAATGTGCGACACTGAAAGACTGTTTAAACCTTACTTAGAGTCTCGATTGAACTAAAATGTGTAGGCAGTTAGTTGCTTTAATGGTCTGTGAGGAAAGGGTTTATAGTCCATCACAGTCTTTGGCATCTGAATAAAGAAATCAGAACTTTTATTTCCCACTGAAATACAGCTAGTCGAGTAAAAGTGTACAGCCTGAAAATAAAGCTTGTAAATCACAAAAAGTAGATCAACTTTGTTAGGAGTGCAACTAACATTTATTTTCAATATCCATTAATCTGTAAATTATTTTCACATTAATTTCTCAATAAAACATTGTACAATAGTGACAAATTGCCCGAGGTATTGTAAAATCACCATGTGCCTTGTTTTATCCGACCAACAGTCTAAAACATAAAAAAAATATATTTAATTTATTGTAATATCAGACAAGAAAAAGCAGCACGCGTTAACATTTAAGAAACATTTACTCAATTAATTACTAATTGCCGATTACTATTCTGTCTGTCCATTGATCATTTAATCATTGAATTGAACTCTTTGCAGATGTTCGACCTGAGCTTTCCTTACAAACTGGTTCTCCAGGTTGCAGCAGCAGCAGAGTGTGTGTTGATAACAGGTTTGTGTGCCAACCAACTCAACCTGCACGCCAAATTATTGGGCACACCCAACCTTGATACAATACTAACGCAGTCCACAACCTCAGTGGCGGTGGACTCAATACTAGAAGCACTTCTCAGTACAATGCAATACTATTCAATAGCACCGCAATCTGCACTACTGCCTCCAAAATGACCACGGGGAAATAATTAACACATCTGTACATTTAACGAAATTATATTTTTAAAAAGGGCGCAAGCTGAAGTAAATCCTAACAAAGTAACAAAGCGATGAGCCCAGTTATGTAGGTTTCTGCACAGTTTGAGAAGAGGTTTGGGTCAAATCGTCGAGGCATGGCGGAGCTGCAGCTCACCTCGGGTCCTCGAACTGCACGAAGGCAAACGGGGGTCCTCCTCGTCGGTTCTTCAGATCGATATCACGAATGGCTCCATATTTGTAAAACAAGTCTTCGACGTCCTTTGAGCGTATGTCGGGGGGGAGATTCCCCACGTATATCCGACAGTCGTTGCTCCCGGCCGGACCGCGAACTACTCCTTGACCAGACATGTTAGCACGAAACGAGCTACCGTTAGCAGTTACGGAAGTTAGCAGGCTAGCCAGCAGCTAACCGTGCGGCCAAACAAAAGAAACGCACGCTTCGGTAGTTCACGGTGTGTAAAACAGTGTCGGCGGATAACGCGTTTGCTCTTTACCTACAGCTGAGATAGCTAAAATCCCTCGGGGTGGATTTCCCAACAATGAAACGAAATGAACAAGAGCTTAAAAAACTTGCGAACCGCGAACCCCTCCTCCAACAACGCGGTTTAATTCAGCGATGTGAGGGATTACAGCCGCTTTTAAAGGTACGCACAGCGCCCCCTACTGTCCTGGAGGGAGACCCACATCCTACAGAGTATACTGAGTTCATCTTGGCCTCGGAACCAGGGTGCGAGTACACTATCTCACCTCAAAGCTTTAGATTATATCAACATGTATTTATTTATTATTTATTCATTTCATAAGAACTGGGTGAATTGTATCTGCTGATGAAAATCAGACAGTATTATTAAACACTCCAAAACAGCTACTACACGGAGCAGGAGGTGAGATTGTTTTGTCACCAGTATGTGTGTTTGTATTACATCCATCCACATAATCCTTTTTGGCCCTTTTCACATCTAACACAAATGTGAATATCGAAAAAAGGAATTCAGGATCGGTCAGTGACCCAGGTGTTTATATAAACACAAATGCATCTTGACTACATTAAACTTCGCCAATGCTTTGGTTTGTCTCGCAAGACAAACAATCCACTATTTGTGAGGTCAACAACAGACTTTCACTCTCAACTTGCAACATTGCTTTCTGAGTGCCAAATTGACTAAATAATGAATAATAAAATCAGGCACTCTTATTTTCTTGCTGACCACAGAGCAAAAACGTAAGTTACGACTTTAGTCTTTATTTGTTAATAACTTAGAATAGAAAGTGGAATTCAAATATAAAACTTGTACACATTTAAAATAATTCAAGCTTTCCCGTATACAGTGTCAGACAGCCCGCAACAGTCATTCATTACAATTTGACAATGAACACAATCCCTTACATGAAAACAATAAAAAACGATGCATTTGTGATTTGTATACCCCACACCCTAACGCTGCAAATGAGTCGTTCTTCATGCAAACCTTTGTACCTAAACGTGAAGGCCCCTGACTGTTTGTTCGTAATGTGTTTTTGTTCAGACCACAAGTTTATCACATATTCTCTTCAAGTGTTTCTCAGTCCTTCTTGGCTTGCCTTTCTCTGCGTCTCTGTCTAGCCTCAGACACTATTTTGAGCAGAGACAACAGAATAGGCACACACATGGGCAGGAAGAGCGGTATGTAGATAGCAAACTTCTGGTCGTCAGGAAAGTAGAGCAGATGCAGGAGCGAAGGGTCAAAGAATGCTCTCTCTGATGCCAAGATGGCCTCTTTACTGTACTGCAGAGCAAAGCCGAGGTTCCCAGCCTCCAACTCGGCCACAGCCAGCTGCAGAGACGTGACGGCACTGGACACCTGAGTGACAGCAACAACAATCACAGCTTAGATACAACTGATGCAACTACAGGAAGTTGTATAATTACCATAGGCACTGTCATTTGTACACTGGTCACAATTTCTCATTCATGCAGACTGACACTGGACTACCATTAGCAGACTTCTTGTTTTGTTTTCCCCTCACCAAACAGTAGTGTGTTTCATATCCATCCAGTTGGTGTCGTTTGCAGTTACCGTTGAAGTTGAGGAAGCAGTTTCTACTAGTTTTCACATTAATCAAAAGGTATATGTTGGTGGTTTATGGTTCTGACCATGAACCACAGGGTCCCTCCAATAATCAACTTACAACAACTTCTACAGCAGCTTTTGTTATATTTTTAGATGTAGCCTGGTACATAGCTAACTATGTACGTTGATCACATTTATATTCTTACCTTCCACCTAACTAAGCTCTGATTTGTTTTTCTCTTACTGGAGGAAACAGTGCTCAATGAGCACAACACTAGACTTATTTGAACCGCTTAACAAATCTGAGATGAGGACGGCGATTCAGAGGTCTGGAACCAGTCTAGTCAAATACTATTTGAGTGATCAGACACCCCAGAATGGAGAACCACGTGGCCAGATATGTACATCCCCAATTGGGTATATATGTCAAAACTTTCAGTCTGTGTCTGAATTTAATGTTTAATGGCAGTATTATTTATATTATTATCCATTTGGTGTGACCTTCTTTATTAGAAACAGCCAGACTAAAGGTAAACAGAAATATGTGGACAGTGCTGACACTTTTTGTAAGTTTGCATTTTATACACATGCACACAAATAGGCACAACAGAAACCTACTGGTTACTGCAGGTGTGCATGCATCTTACCTGCTGAGCAATGTTGTCATTGATAACAATGTTTCCTATCTGGTCCAGCAGCTGTGCCAGCGAGGTGATGGTTGTGGTTGCTGTTGCAACATTTTCCACACTCCGACTCCACATGAGACGGTCCAGCTCCCAGTCAGCTAGTCCTGTGCTGCTGCACGGAGCCACCAGGAAGCCAGGGGGAGGGGCAGACGACTGCACGCCCAGCAACAGCCTGACAGGACACGGTACAAGAAAGTTACCTCGTGTTTACAGGGAAAGCAATAATTGTCGTACTGTAGGTGTCTAGTTACCGAAGCTGTGCAAGGAAGACTCCCATGACTTTGGCCATGTTGATGTTGATGTCAACAGGGAGCACAGCCTCTGGTCCATAGAAACCATTAACATTATAGACCTATAAAAACATGGATAAATACAGTTTTTGCTGAATCAGTAATAGATAGCAGATAGAGCAAAATCACTGCATAGCTAACAAAATATCTGAGTAAGGAACAAGTCGTCGATCTAATGACTAACAAGTAAATCTCAAGCTTTTGCACCAAAGCCAAATTCATAGTATTTAGACTACTGTCACCTTGTGTTGCCCTCAGATTGTCTTACCATAATTCCACCCCAGCGCGGAGAGTGAAACGCATTAGACAGCACTTCCTGTTTCTTGTGGTCATGAATGTGAAGAGGTGAATGGTGGGCGTCCGGGACGTACAGAAGGAAATTCAACACCGGGTTGGAAGATGCAGCATTTGAGCCTCCAAGTCAAATGCAAAAAAAAACCAAAAACAGTTACACACATGTAAACACACCAGAACAAACACCAAGTTTCCACAGTGAGTGTCTTCTTTTACCCAGTCGAGCCTCCACAGGGTTGATGACATGCGCAAGGCTGTCAGAGTTGAGTGTGTAGGCGCTGCGGCTGCTGTCATAGCGTGGGTTTACACCGAGCATGGCATAGTACAAGGTCTGGAAGGAGAATATGTTCATTAACATACAGAAGAAGAGGATCTTGTCATCGTGACGTGGGTGCTGCACATTCACAAACTTGCACGCGCAGTACCTGAGAGTCGATGCTAAAGTTGGCCAAAGGGGCCAGTTTTGTAAGCAAAGGTTGGATGTAGGTCTGTACAGCACCCTCTATGTCCCAGTGTACTCGGTGTGACTTTGGGTCTGGGTTCAACAGACTGAATGTTATCTCATAACCTAAAGAGAAGGGAAGAATACACAGAGAAAAGAGTGTTCACTCAGTTGACGTATATACTGACTGGAACACAAATGAAGTTGGTCCACTGTCGCTGTGCTGAAACAAAGACCTACCTGGGCTGGATTTAAAGGCCCTCATACTGTCAGCGACGCTCTCTTTGTTGCCGGGGCTGAGGCGGACTCTGTCGCTGAGGGCGGCGGTGATGTCGGTGTGGCTAAAAGACATCACCTGCAGCACCTGTTTGATCCGAGGCTCCAGGTGAGCCAGCAATTGTTCTAGCGTCCTGCCCACTCTCATCTGGGCGCCAATACGCAGCAGTGCTGTGCGTCGCTGACCGATATACACGTCCACATCCTGCGAGGCATGAAGGTAGAGGTATTGGGTATTATATTATCTTTAACTTATCCGGAGCGACACAAATGACTCATTATTCTGTTTGAGAGCTGTGCAGAAGGTACTGTAGTAGTTAGTTAGTAGTTTGACACAGTAATTACAGGTTATTTTAGATAGATTATCTTCTTTTCAGTGGAAATGCTGCTTGACTCAGAGAGATCTGTGAATGTTGCTCAAAAAAAGCTAATCTCAAGTAAGTATGGAATTACATGCAGATTTTATTTAAGCTTTTAAACATATGAACACACACGCACACTAATGAAAAACTATGGGTATAAAGTATAGAAAAGGGTTAACAGTAACCAAACAATACTTATTAAAGCTAAATATATACAAAAAACAAAAAATCAAAGCATTGAGAGTTTTAACCTCCGGCAGCAGCGTAGATGACTCTGGGATCACATACACAACCAAAGAGCCACACGGACTCTCACTGAGCGTGTGCAGAGACAGATCTGCCTCTAAAGGAGAAGAACAAACGAGACAGAGAGAAATTTCTACCTGCGTTCTCACCGAGATAACAAAATGTTAGCATGTGAAGAGCTGAAAGCTGGATTTGATACGCAGACAACTTCTCACCTGCAGCAGTGGGCTGGTTCAGGGCATCCTCCTCCATGATTGTAGCTGTGCGGTACTTAGTCTCATACCTGTATCTCAAAGCTGTGTCCTCTGGAGACAAAAGGATTTGAGACAAGAATTAGCCTGCAGTCTTAATATTAAGTATCCATAAGACCACAGACAGCAGTAATAAATCACCATCTACTGTGTGTTCCTCATCCTGCGTCTGCGTCAGCGGGAACTTCTTCTGCTGTTCTGGCGTCACAGTTCCACGTGCAAACACAACCTCCACATCAGCACTCAACTGAAGCTAGACATGTAAAAGAAATAAAGAGAGGGACCATTTTTTAAAAAGGCACACACAATGAAGCAGAAGATGAGATATATATAAGTAATATCCAGAAGCACAAACCAACCTGTAGATTGGCCAACTCATTTATCTGACTGACAGGCAACCAGGCGCGGTACGTTTCAGTTGTTCGCCACCACAGAGGGACTCCCACGATGATGACCACCGCTGCTATGGACAGAGCAGCAAGCTGGCCACGCCTACGCTCTGAGAGACAAACAGAGACAGAAAGACAGATAAGCCTCAGGATGTATATGTATTCATACACTTACATACAGTGAGATAACATACATTTGTCAACTGTCAGATGCTTTTTGTCATGTCATAGTGTGGTTGCTCTATTATCTCTGGTTGTGTGTCATTTTGCAAATCAATGCGCATACAGGTCTGTATTTTTATGGAAATAATGGATTTGTATTTGTTCTTGCAGCAGTGTGACAAATATATTGATGTGTCTCTAGATTCATTCCTGTCTCACATTAACAGCCTGTCAATTGAGATATCGATACTGGTATCGAAATGTCAAATCACATATGCATTACACCTCACTGGACACCACTGACACTGAATGGTGACATTCATCATCAGTGAACATACAGAAAATGGCTTCAAGACGTTTAGTTATAAAGCTAGAAAATCACAATATAAGAGGAAATAATGTGTTTTCGCTCCGCAAAGGGGGACTTTAGTAACTCTAATGTTGTAGTTAAATGTGGAATAAAAATGAAATAATAAAAATGAAAGCCACAAACAGCAGGTGTGCTCGCAGTGTTCAGTGACAGTATAGGAAGGACATGCTGCTAGCTGTTAGCATGTGAGCTTGTTAAGATGCAGCAAACAGCGGCTTCGTGCTGGGCTCAACAATGTTAAATATGTTAAATATGCGCCAACAAACCGCAGTAAACTGGTGGACATGTTGCCTGTTTTGCAGGATTTATATATTATATGTTTATATACAATTCAGTAGTGAGTCTACTCACCCACTTCCGTGGTAGCCATTTCTGTCAGTGGGTGCGTTTGTTTTCTGAACACGCCCCGTCAGATGTCACATGACCGACACATCGGGAGATTCATGTGGTTGTTAACATAGACATTGTTAATGTGTATATACATTATATATACGGATCCGGATACGTACTTAGGGTTACAACAAGTTTAACCACACGTTGTCTTTAAACGTCCCCGGGAGGGCGGTGAGTTGGTTTCAGACGCAATGAGGGACAGTACCCGTCGGCCCACCCGGTATTGTTATTAAACGCACACACAATGTTGGTAACTAGCGCCCCAAGTGGTGGTTTAAATCTTCTCTGGCAGTACAAACATAAAGCTCCTGCCCTCCTGTTACTTTACTTAAAATGTTTAAGACATTTTAAAGCTTATTGATGATTTATTGTTCTGAATATATGCTGTATGCACTGCTATACTGAGCAGTGTTTGTTTATTATTATTATTGTTTACATATATATGTAGAAACACCCTAAAATACAATGTAATCCAATCCAAGGGTGATATTTGTTACAGGACTGTAATATGTGAATGTAAAGGGGTTTGTTTTATTGTTAGTGTCAAACACGTATATATTTACATGTATAAATGAAGAGCTTGACAGGTAACACACCTTTCTGTGTTTATGCGTTTTCACAATTCAAAATATAGGTCTATTAATCTATTATTACCAATGTAAACAAAACTGGACAGCATTAAAAAAAACATGAAATCATTTTTTCTATTTATTAAACTTTATTTCTCCAGAGAGATTTTATGCAGATCTAGGCTGTATTTTTCAGAAAGTCCCTGTACACTGATGATAGCAGGTGCACATTCACACCTAGAAGCTGCCCAGTACAACCAGTGTTGACACTGAGCAGCCTTACTGGAGCAGTGCGGAGATAAGGCCTCCTCAGTGGTGGGATGGGGTAAGCACTGCTTTTTCACTTTTTATTTATTAAGCTGATCTCAGCATCGAACTGATGACTTTCTGGTCTAACCTTTTAGCCTGCTACTTCAAGATTTAGCTAACAGGAAGTAAATTGAATGGAATCAGGAAGTAGAAAAAGTTGCTAGACTTGCAACACATAATGTGACACAAGAGGGCTATTGCATGACTGTTCTAGTGTCAGAAATACTCAATAAAAGTGCACCAGGAGAGAAGTTATCGGTTTAGACTCCATAAGAATAGCAGTAATAATGTCACACAAAGAGATCTCTGCTAGTTTTTAATGTTTATTTATTTTTTCTCCACTATTTGACACACAAAGTGCTTCAAGAACAATATTAACATCACAAACATCACAGTATTCCAACACAGCAGTGACTGTTTCCCCCGCTGCTGACCCCACGTATTGGTCCACATTATGGCTATAATCTAATATCTATAGACACCATCTCCTCTTCCTGTAGGGTCTGCCAGGGGGAATCAGGAGGGGAATGACACACAAGAGTCACATAATATCGACACCTTCACACAACTGAATACATTAATCACTGTATGTAATTTAAAGCTAATGTCATACTGAGAATAGACACACAAGATGTTTCTCTGATAAGTGGTGATAAGGAGTGTGAACACAAAGGTTAGGATGAATCATTAGGATATATTCTGGTGTGTGGTGGTTTATCACAGAGTGTCTACTGACCTCTGCTGGAGCAGTCTGAAAGTACGAGCACGCCACACTTTTTGGACAGTCGCTCAAAAGATCAAAGATCAACTCAGTCTAAAAAAAAGTCTTGTCGTCTTGTCCCCTAAGGGATGTACTGATGCCACCAATATTTAGTTGGTCCCGCTGTCAGGGTGGATGTTAGTATAGCATGAGCCAACACTGCGTTATGACAAAAAGCGAAACAGATTTACCATGTGGGGGGAGAAAGCAGAGTGTAGAGAGGTGTAGTTAAGAAGAGGCATGAATTAGATACTCACTGATTATCTTAATTTAATGTTATAATTTTGCAACTTCCTATCTCAGAGCCCAATAACTGTTATAGACACATAAAATAGATAGTCATAAATTGTCTCAAATTGATTTGTTCGATTAAATAGAAAAAAAAAAACAAGCCTGTTCCCTTTAGTATTGTAGTTTCACGTTATGTTTTTAAATACACATATCTAATAATGTAATTTTAATAACTCGGACAACTCTAAAGTACAGTAGACAGCGCAGGCCTGTGAGTGAGGGGGAATAGCAGAGCAGATATAAGACTACAATAAGACCACAGTTGAATGTGGTTTGATGTTTAGTAGGCGTGATTAGCCACGTAGAGGGACTTTCCAGCGGCACCAGCGGTCCCAGAAGACTCATACTTGCCGAGTGCAGCCAGACCGTTTGCCTGAAGAAGAGACCAAAAAAAAGAGGTAAATTTACAAAACTGTACAAAGGAAGTTTTAGTATAATTTTACTGTTTGTGTCTGATATCTGTTCACGGTTCAGTCTGACCTCAGCACGCTTGATGAACTCCTCGGTGGCGGCCTTCTCGTTGCTCAGCTCTCCTTTCCATGCGCTCAGGGCGGAGGCCTGCAGGGCGCGGCCGTAGGAGAAAGTCAGGGCCCAGGGCTTGGCGAGCGAACAGTTGTTGATGGCATTAAGGTTCACACTGGCCTCTTCTTCGGACTGGCCACCTGACAAGAATGTCACTCCTGAGGAGAAAACAGAAATGAGCAAAAACACACAGTCATCTATCTGCTCGAACATGCTTTCATAGAACGTTTAAGCCTTTCAACTCCATAAATCTCTATGAAATGACATAATTATTTCAGGAAATTATGGAAATGTCTCTGACCTGTGACGGCAGGAGGCACAGTGCGGCGCAGGGCAGTGACGGTTGCCATGGCGATTTCCTCGCTGCTGTACTTGGTGGGGCAGGAGTGTCCGGCAGTGACCATGTTGGGTTTCAGCAGTGTCCCTTCCAGGTATACGTGGTGGTCTGACAGAGCCTTGTAAACTGCAGCTAGGACCTAGCAGCAGGAGAGAAACATGTAAATTACATTTACACTTTACAGGAAGTATACAGTAGCATGTGTTTTATTTTTATATACATATTCCTCAGTAAATTCACCTTCTCAGTGACGTACTGGCAACGCTTCAGGTCGTGCTCTCCATCAGGAAGGATCTCAGGTTCCACAATAGGAACAATACCATTCTAGGAGACATTACAAAGTAGAAGTTATAATCAAACTCTTATATTTGTATAGATACACTACATGTGTTTCTTATAATTCCCAATAGTGACCTCCAATCCCCATCATCAGTGATCTCACACCGACCTGCTGACAGATGCTAGCATATCGTGCCAGAACATTCGCATTCTCAAAGATGGCCAGCTCGGATGGCTCGGTGTCGCTGATCTTCAGCACAGAGCGCCACTTGGCGAAGTCTGCGCCGTCCTTCTTGTACTGCGCACAGCGCTCAGACAGCCCATCCAGACCTACACTCCCCAACACATGCACAGAAGCATCCATCAGAACCACAGCAATGTAATGTTTGTGAGGTTTTGAGAGTGTGTTACTAATGGCTCTTACCCTGAGTGGTGGTCTCTCCATTTGTTCCAGCGAGGGGCACAACACCTTTGTCCACCTGCAAAGACGGAAACAGAAAATGTTTAAAACAATAAATACTTGGCTTTCTATATCATGTAGAACATCCAACATAAAATCCCACTGAATCTCACTCTTACAAGCAAACACAACTTTCCTTTTTCCAGTTTCTCCTCTCAACCTGATCTGCTGTTATGGGAGAGTCTGTGTTTCCATATACATTGTAGGAGCCTTTCTAGTTCTTCGAGCCAAACGAACGATCACTGTGTTCGCCAACCTGAAATACTTAGCTGTAGTATAATATCAACACTGTGGCTGCCAAAGCAAACAGCCACCAAATAAGGTTAAGCCTCCCAGACTCAGGTTCCTGTGTTTTAGGAAACCAGCCAATAGCTGAAACCAGTTAATTGTTAAATGTGTTTGGAATTGTACAAATAGAGGTGGTTGATGAGCATTATGTGTTTTATTCAATTAAGAAACTCATTTGAACTGAATGTAATGTACTGAATGAAGGCCACACCTATGTCCCAACTATAGAGGTTTAAATACATAGTGGTTAAGTACCACACTGAGCATTGTGTACCTTGATGCCGACAACAATGCCGCGGTCTTTGATGAGCTTGGCAAAGGGAGTTCCGTCGTCTGTGTTCTGGTAGAGGGTTTCGTGGAAGAAGATGACCCCTCCGATACAGCTGTCAATGCGCTGGTCGGCTGTGAAGAGAAGCTGGCGGTAGCGACGCCTGTTCTCCTCTGTGTTCTCAACCCCAATGGGGTTCAAACGTTTCGCCATGCTGCCTGTAGACAACACACGCAGGGACATTGAGTGAATGACAGCTCTGCAGCATCATTTTTAATGGAGCAGAACTAAACAACATGCATGAGAACATACAATGCAGTTAAAGATCTATTAACCTGATGTATACTTTATGGTATTTTTTGTGTAAAACCTTTACAAACTGAAATCCATGAGCCTTGACTATACATAAAAATGTCTTGATTTGACGTTGTTGTGTCAAACAGGACCTTTATGCATTCAGTATACCTCTGGATTAACATTACTATGATTTCTGTGTCCTCAGTTAGTGTCTGTACTGAGTTTTATAATGAGTCTGTGAAGCAAAAATCCAAATTTAGTCTGTGATAGCATAGGATTAAAGGTGGGGTCAGTCAATAGTTGATGGTTGAGTCTCATCCGTTCTGGCACTAGCGCCACCTATTGTGCTGTGTGGCTCACTCTGAGCCTTTTACCATCATCCAAAGTGGTATTTGATGACCCGGGAGTGACACTCAACACTCAACTATCTTCTCAACTGACCCCACATCTAACCTAAATGGTCTGACTAATCAATCTGACTTTGGTTTACACTGATTTTCCACTGATGTGTGCATGAAGGTATAGAAGGTTTGGTGTAAAGTGGTCATAAAGGTGGTGAGGATAAACCAGTTCCTTTACGGTTTTAGGATACTAATGGACAATTATGTTTAGAGAATCTGGCTTTCTAATTATGTTGTTATACCGGTGGACTCATCGGCTGCGAGGATGCCTTTTCCTGGAGCTACTATCCTCTGAGCGATTTCCTGAAGCTCCTTCTTCTGCTCAGCAGTCAGTGCGGGGTACTGGTGAGTCATGGTGGCTGAAGGAGAGAGAGAGAGAGAAAGCCATGGAGAGGTCACATTGTTTCACGGTATGTCAACCTGGACCACTGCCCAGCACCGGCCCCATTTGTTTTCAGCCGTCTATTGTCTATAAACATGGCTACCTCGCTGCAGCACAAAGCTCCTCTCAGTGAGGACAGGAGGATGGGTGAAAATGGAAAAAAAAACATGGCACTTAAAAGTCACACAATCCAAGCACCCAGCCTGCGTGTGAGAGACGTGATGAAACCAATGACTTCCTGCTTCCTGAGAGAAAAAAAAAAGATAACAGAAATAGCTACATTTGTTCAGTGAAATAGGCCTTTGTGAGACTATCATCGAGAATGCAAACAAAGCTTTATCACTGAACATTCACACCATCTGGGATTGAATATGACTGCGTTAACTCGAAGGGACAACGTGCTAACATGCACACACACGCTTCAAACCAGATTATTTTGTTCTCTGTTGCCTTCTTCGCTCTGCCGTAAATAAGCAGTTACATAACCTCCCTCCCCTCCCCGTCCGAACCACAGAAGACAGAGAGGGAGCGATTATGTCACAGGGCTCCTATACACTCTGCTGCCAGTCCTCATTACAGCAGCAGGACTGGATGCAGCACGGCCCATTTCTCTCCCCTCAGCAACACTCTCCTGTTTTCCCCTAATGTCATTATGCCTCTCTTTGTGCGCTGCATGTATAAATGTCTTTTATTTCTTTCCCATGATTAATACGCGTCGCCCCCGTACAGAGTCGTTCGAACCCCCTGCTCTGCTCAGTGAGGCGGCTGCTTCTGAGGAAAAGAAAAAAAATGCCATCCACTGCTGGGCACAGGGATTTGTGAATTCACATTTTCACACATCCCTGAAATGCAACACTCCCACTAATGCCAGGGAACAAGCTGTGACTTCCCTTTATGGTCCACTGCCCCTGTTGCCAAGCCACTCCCAGATTTGTTCCGCATCACCAGTGTACTGGCTTGTGCCACATTTTGGACCTGCTATAGATTGATCTGTCTGATGGACGGAAAACTCTCCTTTAGTGTCAAATACGAAGGTTAGCTCCAGTCAGCTGTGTACAGAGGTGTCGTGCTGTCAGACAGCTGGACACAAATAGCTATGTGTACTAAGTATAACTATCATCTAGGGATGAATAGGATTTTATCACCAAAGAGAGACACATCTTGGTGTGAGGACAAACACACAAAGTAAACTAAAAGGAGGGTTCGGCATCAACAATAAACTCATCTGTACACCGGATTCCCAACTGAGGCTGGTTTGCTGTGGCAGGACACTGCCTGACATACACTATATCCTCTGTGATAATCCTCAGCTTAAACCTATGAGATAACAACCTTTAGAGCACGCACACGCAGGCCTCTCGATGAAAACTGTGTGCAGTTCCCGCAGCACAAATGTCAAGCCCAGCTCCGTGCTAATAGTTCAATTCTACATGCAGGTGAAATTAAAGAGGCCTGAGGGGAGCAGGTAGACCGAGTGTATAAACTGCATTCAGACCTCTTCAGGGAATAAGAGAGGGTATTTACACTTGATAGAGGCCAACCCAAGGGCACAGCCATGATGTGTGTGATCTTTGTTTGCAGCCTTGCTCCACTGTTAGCCAGACAAAACCCATGCTCAGCAAATACCTGCTATCTTTTGAGAAGCACCTGCGTGTTTCAACAATACTTTTTGATTGACTTTGAGTCCAGATTGGTTGGATTTCTGCTGGGAAAACATTTCGAAATCAATGGAAAGAATAATTTACCTTTTATAGTGCATGAGGGGGGAAAAAAGACCTTGTAGGACGATGTCCTGTGTGGATGTGACCGGCCTCTGACATCCTCACATACATCAACTGTGAGGTGTTGTTGACAGTCTCAATCAATCAAAGAACAGCTCAAGCACAGATTCTTTCTTGTGCACCAATATTCAACAACCACCTAGGGTCAAATCCCTCAACACTGTACACTTTAGCCGGTAGAGGAAAGGTTGCTTTTGTCACTACTGGTAATATTGTTGCAGCAACATTGACTGTCATGTGACTGGCAGGTGTGTACACTGTCTGACCTGACTCACATTTCTATTTGGTCTCAGTTATTAGTGGGCACAGACGAGACTACAGCCTGATTATTGTTAATGGGAATTATACAAAGCAGAAGAAACTCAGTGTTGTTGAATGTCAGACATTTTTTTAGTCACAACAGTTATTCACGTACCCAGGAGACACTATTAGTATTTTCAATTTTAGTATCTGCTGCTTATGTGTCTCTAGGAAACGCTCTCCATCCATAGGGAACTTAAGAATATGAAGCTCCAGTTTGTGCTGCACACTCAATAATTACCACCTGCTGCAGGCCCAGCACCACAGTGACTAACTAAAATAACAATACAATAGTAAATAAGGGAATATATCATGCTTAAAGTGGCTTTCTCTCCTTTACTGAAACTGGTAAGCTTTAGGTATCCTGCTCTTGACTAAAACCCAAGGAACAAACTGGGTTGAGGTCAATTTTAAAGGTAATTTCAAATCCTGCATGCCC